TTGCTTCGGGGTTTGCTTCGAATTATGTTGCGAGGCAGATCTGACGGCGGTCTATGAGCTGAAATGTTAAGCGTAAAGGTCAACATAGACCAAAGCTAGGCCCTGTCAACTCAACATGTTGAAGGCGTATAGCTTCACCATAAACCCATACAGAGGGGCGCCACGCCATACTCAGAGCATAACCTGTCCAAGCTAGTCCAAACTAGGAGCCGATCTTGAAACAACGGAATCACTGAAAATGCTACGAATGTCTTGTAGCGCAGTGCTACGTGGGGAGGATGCCAGGCATTGTCCGAAAAGATGTACTGCCTGCACTTCTGTCCCAAGCCCTCAATCCCCTACAAGGGCGGGGCGCCCCCGCTCAGGCGGGATTAGCCCGAAGTCACGTCACCACGAAACGCAACGCACACGTGCTGTCCAAAACAGGTATTGCACCAACCAAAATTTGCGCGCAGCATGTGACGTGTTGGCCCATAAGTGTGACCTTAAGTAGGCTACAACTACAGGGTGTGAGTGGGCTGTCTCTCATCTCTGGATTTGTCCGTGTGCTCTTTTCAAGCGGCGGAGCTGCTGTCACTGTCACTGTCGGAGCTGTTGGCAGCCTCTCGGAGGTTAACTGCCAGCGCCCGCTTGCGGCGCACGTACTTGGCCTTGGAGGAGGCTGCCTGTTTCTCACGCCGGACCAAAGCTTGCACAAAACTGTCTCTCCGACTGCAAGCTGCGAAGTCTGTGCCACGCATGAAAGCCTCCTGCTTCTCCCTCCTCCGGTTGAGCAAGCTGACGTTGAGAGGTGTCTTCTCCGGCTTCGAGGTGCGATATGACATTCTCCAGTCTTCGCTGGCGGGGGACTCGGAGCACACAACCTGCCCTATGCTCTCGCCCAGTCGCCTGTCGTGGCAGCGATCAGAATACCAGAAATTCCAGCCACGAATGCGGTCCGCTGCCCTTTCAAAGAGGACGCAATAGCTGTACTCAATCTGAAACCCCGTACCTGTGTTGTCAAGTTTGCGACAGACATTCTGCTTCTGGGGCACGAAATCTCGGATGTAGTAGGAGGGACCGTGCGGAGGCGGATCCAGAGCTATGGTCTCTTCTGCACCTTGCTGAAGCGCAGCTTTCATGTCTGCCAAGCTCTCGATGTTGCGCTGCCGCGCGAAATCGCTAATCCACCGGCGCTGCAAAGCAAAGGACCCATCACACCTTCCTTTCCCATGGTGCTCTGCATAATAGTTTTGCACCACGACGTGGAAGCGTGTGCGACACAGCTCGCTCAGGTTGTAAAGAAATTCGTAGCTTCTAAAATGAGGGCCACAATCTGCCCAGACTTGCAATTCCCAGCACCCGTCTGCGCCTTCCAGCGGAAGCTCAGCCAGCAAATTGTTCCTTGATAGTTCAAATTATCGGTAACCTTTAGGTTTTGTATGAATGGGGGCTTGTATAGGGCTTCAGCTTAGCACCCTTGAAGGGCCTGAGTCCAAAAAGTAATTGACCTTGGTCTGAGGACCCACTAAAAGCCTGGCTGCGTCAAAGGGACAAGCATCCTGTTGCGTGGGCACTGTCGTGATTTAGGACTTGACTGATGTAATGGTAGTACTCCTTGCGTACCACGCTGTCTCTCCAATACACCACGTAAAACCCTAACGTTGTGACAGCCTCTCTGCTTGTAGCCCAATACCAATCGCCAGCCTCCTCCGGACCAAGGGGGAACGATGTATTCTCCATGTAGTCCAATTGCACGAGCACCACACTGCGAGCGAGGTTCCGCTCAAGAAGCTCCCGCTGCTCGTGCTGCCGACGCACGGCTCCGAAATGGTGCACGCACGCCTGGATGATGTCGATGTACTTGGCAAGAGCACAGCACGCCGCCGCCTCCGCCTCTTTCAGGTCTTGTCTGTAGCGTACTGTCCCAGGGGCCGTGGGCTGTGACATACGTCTCTCAGCATTCTTGTCCATGAACAGCTTCAAAAACTTCAGGTACTGCAAAGACAAGGTATCATCAGGGTCTGTGCGGCCCGCTGCTTTCATCCTTGCCCAGTGCTCGTCCACTTGCTGGAAGTAGCTACTTTCCACGGCCTCCACAGCTGCACGACACTTGCTTAGTTCTTGACGCAGCTGAGGAAGAACCACTCTGTCATACTTATGACAGAAAACACAAACGTCAGTTCGTGTCTTCAGACGCTGGAACTGTCTCTGGTGTTAATTTACTCAAATGGAGAAACCAGCTTGTTTTGGAAAGCAATCGTTGCATGGTCTGGCTGCGCAACCACAGTTTGTGCTTTGAAGTATCTAAGTTGTATACCGGCAGCACTGAGCCCTCCACGTTGATGAGCTTCCCCGTGCTACTTGCGCTTTCCAGAAGGTACGCGCGGACCTTTTCCCGGACATACCGGCTGTGAACTGTGGATTTGCGGCCTCTACCTTGCTGTGGCTTCTTCTGGTTCACACGACTCCATAGCCGAATACCAGGCACGTTGTTCAGCAACTTCCGGGAGCGCTTCCAACCACCTACGGCGTCTTTCGCAGCACTGGCCACAGCCACCTTCAAAGTCTCGCTTCCTTGACTCCTTTCAAGGATCGCGTCTGCAAACTTGCTTTTAGCTTGCTCGGCAGTAGTTGCTTCGGACTTTGTAAGCTCTGCCAGTTCTTCTTTTGACAGGCGCCGCAAAAGGCACCTGGCTACGCCTTCTGAACTTAGTTTTTCTCTAGCTTCGTTAAGGACAACAGCAAGGCGTTTTCGCCAGTGTTTCTCTCCTTTTTCCTGTTTGCGTGCCATGGCAAGGCTTGCCGCCTCAAACAGGAAGCTGTCCCTACAGCATTCCTATGATGAGGTTCTTTGTTACTGTCGCACTACATAGCTCTTGTAGCCCTACGCTATCGTTGACACTGGAAAGCAGTGCATGAGTGGACCCTTCCACGAACTCCTGCCTACCTTGGTTTAAACAAGTCTTTCGGAAATGGAGCCAGCAAGTTCCAAAGGGCATCCCTCCTGTTTGCCAAGTTGGGGGTATGATTCGGGTATGATTCGGGTATGATTCGCGAGGCACATATAACATACGATTTTGGGGCCCCAAATAGAGACTTCTTAACCTAACCCCAACTCCTGATATGGGAGCTTCCATCTAAAATGAGGAGATTTCTATGGGACCGTCCATCTGAAATAAGAGGATTTCTATGGGACCTTTCTATCTAAAATGAGAGGATTTCT